GGGGTTTAGGGTTTAGTGTTTGAGTTGTTGGTTTCGACTTGGTTGGTGGATCCGGGTTGTACCGCTTGCATGCCGGAGTGCTTGCCATAGGACTGGCGCAGCAAATAGCAGGTCGGGAAGTCCACAAGCATCCTAAGTCAACAATCCTTGCCCTGTCACAGTTATGCGCAGAGCCGGGTTTTTTGAGGTGCTCCAAACAAGACCTTGGAGTCGTGGTTGCCAACCAACAACAGCAACGCCTAGAGCAAGTTAGTCGAGCATCTATCTTCTGGATGCAAATTCATCGTACCAAGCTCCATCCGCATCACGAGTTCAGTGGTTGCAGATTTTGGCCTCGTTGGCTCTTGCCGCAGTCCGTTTGAGAGCGCACGGGCTAAAGTACTCGCACAGGTGTCATCGGCCTCCCTCCCTACAAGAACGCACAAGGGGAGCTGGTCCATGTGGACTTCGGCATCCTTCTCTTCATGTACGCCCTCTTCATCGTGGCCATTATCCCTTCTGCATTCTCGAACTGCTACAAGCAGAAGAAGCTGAAGCAGGTGAACTTGGACGTGATGTGGTCCTTTTTCTGGGCTGGCATGTGGCAGGTGATTTGGGGCTTCTTGATGTTCCCGCTGAACTGGATCCCATGGCCGGAGCCCGGAGGTCAGAACGAGCAGTCTCCCTCCAAGTTGGGTGAAGACTTGGCGGACTCCTGGACTTGCTTTCTGGGAACGAACCCCAAGCCTGAGGTGACCAGCTGCGACGCTGAGCCTGCCTATGTGTCTTGGTTGAACTTTACAGTCACTTTATAGCTTTATGACTTCTAGGATTAGCTTTTTTTGGTATTAGTAGGAGTACTAAAAGTTATAATTTTAGCAAGGTAATAAAGAGCAACCCAGGTGTGGTTTGGCTTCTACCTCCTCTTCAACGTCTTCTTCAACCTCTTCTTCTTGTGGCTCATCAAGCGGCTATCAGGTACCTGGGCGGCCATCGGCTCCATCCTTTGCGGCAACCTCTGTGGAATCTTCAGCCAGTACGAGCTTTTTGCTGGAAAGTCCGCACGCAAGCTCACCATGGAGCAGTGGTTGGCGTTAGTCTTGTCCTCGATTGCCATGTGGGTTTACAACATTGAGGAAGAGACCGATATCGATGGCAACAGCGTCTACGCCGAGAAGCCGCAGCTCGGCGACCTCGGAAAAACGGGCTTCGCACGTGTAAGTGTAGGGGTAAAATGGCCTAGGCTGGCCCTGGGCCTGCCAGGACAAATAAGAAGCTTCGACAGACTACGAAGAACGAGTGGAATAGAAACGGCTGACTGAAAGCAGCCTGGTGGTATTCGTAGAACCAGTGCTTGTTCTGCACAGGCAGGAGCGAAAACATTGTGATGTCCAATGTTCTTGATCTTGGTGAGTAGTCTGTGGCATGATCTGGCTTATCGGGGCAGAGGCGCCATGCTTTCAACAGCAAGCCCCTTGGAGCTGGGCTTGCTGTCCTGCGTGCTGAGGAAGGGAGACCATCGATATGACGAGCACGGACCTATGGGCCTTGACCCGGAGTCGGACTACGATTCCGAGGATGCACTTTCATAAGCTCCTTCCAATCTGTCTGCAGTCCAAGGGGGGCATGCAGCGCGAGTTGCTTGAAAGGTAGGTCCTGAGGTCGGATTGCATGCTGTGAATCAACGATTCCATGCAACCTGTCGGGGTCAGTCTTGCGTCGCGCAGTCTGGTCGAGGCATGGGGTCTGAGGCAGGGATTGCCAGGTGAATCTGACCCTGTAGATCTGTATATCATGTTATGCTTTATTGTACTGGGTAATAAATTACTCGATCATGGTAGAATGTAATACTAGGTTACCCATAGGCCCCATAGTAGTTCCTTTTTGGGGATTGCCTTACAGGATTCAAAACATGAACCCCAAAAAGGAACTACTATGGGGCCTATGGGTAGGTTATGTACCATCTGGCAGGACGAGCCCGAAGCTGATTCGCACGGGAATTTCTGAGGCGAGATGCGATGTTTCAAGCTTCGCCGTAAATGTTTGCAGCCAATGATTTTAAGGATGACTCGGATCCGGTATCCGACTGTATCCTAGGCGACAACACGTCGCGAGTTCAGGGTGTCCACAGTCACATAGTGACGATCTTTGCCTTCTGCTGGCTGGTCCAAGCCAGGAAGAGGCAGCAAGTTACGAAGCATAGAGTGTGACTGATTCCCACTTTTAATCGGATCGTGCTAACACGTACCGCTGGGCATAAGATTGGAATCACATGGTGCTGCCTGCACATACAAAAGAGCCGCGAAAGAATTCTTCTTAATATTGGATAACTAACTGCGAATTAATCTATCTTCCAGAAATAGATGAGGCTTGGCTTTTGACATAGACTTCCTTTAGAATAAAAATAAATCTATTCGATCTTTCTAGATGAATTTCGTAGATTCTATGATATTAAGCATACGAGAAAATCTTATCATTATTTATATAGTATATATCTCGATTATTATGATTAGCATTGTTATAATATATTGGTTCTGGTTTAAAGATAAGAATAAATTGAAATTATGTACTCCATTAAAACAGAAAACTAGAGTTCAGTTCTTTTTTTGAATCTATCTCTCCCGACAGCCTGCCCCAAAATTTCTGGAATATTTGGAGCAGGAGGCGCTCTATTCGGGCCGGAGCTGCTTCTCCACGACTTTCGTTTCAAAAGGAAGCGCTTCTTATCGAATTTCTAGGAAATTTTGAAAGGAAAATTTACTAGATGCGAAATTTCACCAATATTTTGGGGCAGGAGTTTTGGTCTTCCATCTCGAAAGATTAAGATACGATGATGGAGCTCTAAAGTTGCTCGATTCTTTCGTGCGATCAGTTCGATGGTATCGAGTTGCATGAAAAAGAACGTGAGGAAATCGTCGTTGCGAAAATATTTTCGTCGCGAAGATATATTCGTCGATAGATATTTTATGATTTCGGAAGATTGAACAGTCCGTATAAGCCGTATGATGTCCGTCGTTGCACCAATCGTCCGTAGTCGGTCATTCGTGTCAATTGAAGTAGTATTTTTTCGTCTCTCATATCGTCCGGCGTCATGATTATCGATGATTATTATAGATATATATATATATCTGTCATTTCTGTTAACGTGATGAATATCATGATTTTATGAAATATATTTTTCTCAAATGATTCATTCCGATATCATGATTTATTTAAATCTCATATTCGATAATTCGATTCTTTGTTATTATAAAAAAAATTATCGCAATTGGTTTTGTTTAATTCATGATTAGTATTGAATATTTGTAAATATAATATATATATATATTTTTTTGAATTCTATATCAAAATTTCAATAATATATTATTGCTAAATATTCTGAGAAGAACTAATGCAAAAATATATTCTGAATGAAATTAAATAAAATTATAGATAAGTTCATTAGATTTATATATATTTTTTTCCGAAATTCATTTTTTTTGAATTTCTGTATATAAATGATATTCTTATATTATCGAGAATAGATATTATGATATGAAAA